ACGCTTTGATCTAGATCTATGTCTAAATTAAACACACTATAAAATGCACACAATCAAAACGAATGTTGAAAAATAGAGGACTTGAAAATAATCAAGGCAATACAACTTTATTCAAACTGTGTGGACTTTTTCGATACAAGAAATCTCTTTCTTCACACGAAATAGGCAATCACGTCTTGTCGAAATCAATCACTCATTTCGTTACCAAGTGGCGTCATAATGTCACGTGACTGCTGGTTCCTAAGAGAATATTCTTTGGCGCTGAGCAACCATTCTCATTGGGCGTTCAACTTACTTAGTAAACTAATTTTTTTAAATACTTTTTAGTTAACTTTTATTGTTTTGTTAATTGTTTTCTATTTATTTACATTTTAAAATTATTTCTACTTTTATTATCATTTTTATTCTTTTGGGTGTGGAAGGAGGGTTAAAATGTTTAATTGTATTATTTGGTAGCTGTTTATTAAGGTTGTTTTTGGGGGGCTCTGAACACGATTTTGGCATTAAAAAAACGTCGCAAATTATTCGTTTAGATTAGGCACTTCAGTGAATGCACTCACTTCAGAGTGATTCGGCTTCGCAAAGTCCCATTGAGTTTTGTTTCCGGGCCTGACGTCTCGATGCGACAGTGGATTCAATCTGCCCATATTTTTGTTTAATTTGGGGGACCAACATTCAGGTCCGATACAAGTCTTCAAAAACCTTTGGATGGCCTTTAAAACGTTTGGGGTTTTTTTTTCAGGTCGATGTGCGACTCACGAGTCTCGAGATGTTTTAAGTTTATACAATTTATAACAATTGGTTTTTCTAGAATCTTCTCGTCATATATTTTTCAAACTAGCCTTGTGGATAAACCATTCTTTGTTCTTCCAAAAAACGTTTAAATGGTTATCTCAGAAGTCTTACCTTGGCTAGGGTAGTCTTACCCTTTCATCAACAAAATCCGTGAAAACCTACCTGGACCCTTCCTCCGTGACAGAGCGCCGAGCAGTGAATTTTTTGCCTTGAGCTTTTGGTTCCTTCTGTTTATTATTTGAAATGTAAGGCAGGGAAATACATTGCCGAGAGATTTCTTCAGTTTGAAAATTTGATCAATTTTGGTAATGTTTTATAATCACTGACCTTAAATTGTGAAAACTTTTTTTTACGATAGTAGATCTACATGTATAAAGAAAACTAAATTTTTAGAGCCAAGAATTTCCTTTTCACTGAGCCCCCCCCCCCCCCCCCTCTTTTTTTCCTCAACTCAAAACCTTTCATTTTTTCATTGCGTAGTCGTAGGGCCCAGAATGAAGAGTCCAGGCCCGTGTTGTTAACAAAGTCAAAATTACATTGAGGCGCCTATTAAAGTATCTGAAGCAATTAGATCTACTTGCTTGATGAAGTTTCTTGTGTTTATTGTAAGTGTACTGATCCGGATTTTTCTTCTTTTCGGTCGCATGAACTAGAATGAAAAATGCTTAAAACTGGAATGTTTGAGGATTTTCTCTCTCTCTCTCTCTCTCTCTCTCTCTCTCTCTCTCTCTCTCTCTCTCTTTTTTTTTTCTTTCTCTCTTTCTTTCTCTCTCTCTCTCTCTCTCTTTTTCTTTCTCTCTTTCTTTCTCTCTCTCTCTCTCTCTCTTTTTTTTTTCTTTCTCTCTTTCTTTCTCTCTCTCTCTCTCTCTCTCTCTCTTTTTCTTTCTCTCTTTCTTTCTCTCTCTCTCTCTCTCTCTCTCTCTTTTTTTTTCTTTCTCTCTTTCTTTCTCTCTCTCTCTCTCTCTCTTTTTCTTTCTCTCTTTCTTTCTCTCTCTCTCTCTCTCTCTCTCTCTCTCTCTCTCTCTCTCTCTTTCTGTGTTTCCGTGCGTTCCCACTCTCGTCCTGTCCTTTTTTCATAACCGTACCACTCTTTTCTTCTCCATCCCACAGTACCTGCTCTTCAACATTCTCTCTATGTTATATATAATTTAAAAATTTGATAAAAATTCACAGACCTGCGGAAAAATACAAGTTTCTTCACTTTGGTTATTTTGACGAGAGCTTGATTCCACCACGCTGCCTCACATATGATTAAGTTAAGGACCTTGGAACATAATCTTTTGTACAGTGCATATATATATATGAAAGGCCATTGGGCCCAGGGGCAGATTTGCACCTCGCTTCGTCGACAATTGGCTTTACTTCATCGAGTGTTGGCAACCTCATGTAGAACTTCTCACCCGGGCCATCTGGCCAAACTAGGCTGGGGTTGTGGGGTTTTTTTCTAGTGGGATGTTTCGCTGATCACCAGAGTATGTTTTCCTCAGATGTTCCTTCAGGCTAATTTTTTTTTACCTTGAGTACTCCAGATCTAGTTTTTTCAACACGTGTTCAGCCGTACGGAGTGCGCTGTGTCTTGTTTTGTTTTATATTTTTGTTTGTTTGTTTGTTTGTTTGTTTGTTTGTTTGTTTGTTTGTATTGCACATGTTTTACGGCGCTCACAACTTCATAAGAGAGTGCGAGACACATTAAACATATTTAGTTGGTAGGAAATTTTGATTTATGAATTTTGCTGTGGTGGTGGCTGAAGCCCACTCTTATCGATTTTGGACAACCAATGGATGGTTAACGAGCGCGACTTGCACGCGGGGCCTCCGAATCCCCCCCCCCCCAAACCTGTCCGAGAAGGATAGGTGTAGATATTTCCTACCATAATATCAGGGATGTGACTGAAAGACAGCAGTAAGAAGGAGCCAGGGAGTAGCAGTAGAAAGACTGCAAAAAAGTCAGGAGCACAGAGGAGGGATCAAAGGAGGTGAAGGGGTGGGGGCATACAGAGGAGACGAAGGCAGACGACAGAACATTGTTAGAGAGCTGGAAAAGGGGTGAAAGGAGAACATTTTTAGAAAAAAATTTCCCGTCGCTATCTGATTCGAACACGGGACCTATAAATGAGAGGCAAACACCTTAACCTTTGACCACAAAAGCCCTCGTCTTGGTTTTAGTTCGCTCCACAGTTTCCTCATGCCTTCCTTCTCTTCTGCCGGTGCTGTTCTCAGCAGTTAGATCTACTTTAGATTGTCTCTTTCTGTTTCTTAAGTCTTTCATCAGTCTTTGTAGCCTGTTGTTCTGTGGCTTTTGCTTCGCTCTGCTACTCTTCACACCAAAGTGCTCCTTACACATAGTGTACGCAATATCCCTAAATACCTCCAGACGTTGATGGTACTTCTGTTCCCCAGCTCTGTCTGCAATGATCGAGAGATGGGGTTGTCAAGGTTCTACGAGACTTCTTTCGAGTTAACAGGAGGAAAGTTGATTCTGGGCCTTCTGGTTTGTGTCAGCCCTCCATCTTCGTCAACAGTTTCGATCTCCGTAGCATTAACGTGGACTTGGTCCTGGCCGCTTTCGGGAACAGAGAGCTTCTTTTGAGGGCTTGGCTCGATGTCACAACCCATTTTTGCCCTCTGAATTTGCATACCTCTTTGAGAGCTGAATAGCCTCCCGCACGTACGTGGGTAGTCCATGCACTGTTCTGAACTCAGTATCTTTTGGGC